CTTTCTGCCTCCCTCTCCCTGCATTTTGGGCAGGGAAGACTCAAGCCACTTTGCACAGGGAGCCCTCAACTCCTTCTCTTGCCTTCACTCTGGGCCCAGAAAGAGGCAGGGACCCAGTCTGGGAACCCACAGGTGCCGTGGCTCGGCTCGTGTGGCCAGGCACGGGTGAGAACGTTGGGCAGGGCTACCTGTTGATGGGAAAATAGATCAAGAGGCCAGGAAAGGGGCAGATGGCTTGGTAAATGGGTATTGGGTGGGGAACCCGAAAGGTGGCTTCTCCCTCTCCACTCCTAGGCCATCTGAGGCCGCCTCTCCTGACCTTGTCTCTACGCCAGTTTTTCTTTCCGTCTGCTGCCAGCTCTTTGCATCTGTCTTCATGTCTCCTTGTCTCTGTCCTCACTAGGAAGTAAGAACTAACTAAACATTCATCTGTGATGTGCCAGACACAGGTGTCCGTGAACAATCAGACTCAGGTGTCCGTGAACAAGATGACAAAGACTCCTGAACATGCTGTCCTCTTTGAGCCCTCATTCCTTGAGGGTAAAAAACAAACGAAGCTGTGTTGCTCACATCTGTAATTCTGTTAAAGGGGAGATTTTAGAGCACTCAAGACTGGTTTTAGTGCACAGCAAAAAAAACCCCGAAAAAACAAAAAAAAACCCAAAATAACAAAAACCTATTCTGAGGTCTATTTTGATTACGAGAATTAATATTTCATTCATTAAAGTGACAAAACCATGGCCGGGTGTGGTGGCTCACGTCTGTAATCCCAGCAGTTTGGGAGGCCAAGGTGGGTGGATCACCTGAGGTCAGGAGTTTGAGACCAGCCTGGCCAATATGGTGAAACCCCGTCTCTACTAAAAATACAAAAATTAGCCGGGCATGGTGGTGCATACCTGTAATCCCAGCTCCTCAGGAGGCTGAGGCAGGAGAATCGCTTGAACTTGGGAGGTGGAGGTTGCAGTGAGCTGAGATCACGCCATTACACTCCAGCCTGGGAGACAAGAGTGAAACTCCATCTCAAAATTAATTAATTAATTAATTAAGTGACAAAACCAGTGACCTACTTCTTCCTTAGTCTTTTAAGTTGTTTACAACCCATTTTGGTCTAGATAAATCTTTTTTTTTCTTACTTTTAGACATCTGTTGCTTTTATTTATTTATTTATTTATTTATTTTTTGAGACAGAGTCTCGCTCTGTTGCCAAGGCTGGAGTGCAGTGGCGCAATCTCAGCTCACTGCAACCTTTGCGTCCTGGGTTCAAACGATTCTCCTGTCTCAGCCTCCCGCGTAACTGGGACTACAGGAGGCATACTGGCTAATAATTTTTTTGTATTTTAGTAGAGACGGGGTTTCGCCATGTTAGCCAGGATGGTCTCGATCTCCTGACCTCGTGATCCGCCCGCCTCGGCCTCCGAAAGTGCTGGGATTACAGGCGTGAGCCACCGCACCTGGCCTATGGGGTCCTTATAATAATGTTTGGTCCTATTTACAAACTAAGTTAACTAAACACCTTCAGACATTTTAAACTACATTTCTAAAACCAACACGTTCAATCTCTTCTGGAAGTCCCTTGATTTTTAGGCAACACTTCCAAAGCATTGAAATGAGTTTTTACATCTGAGTGTACAGATGTACTCATAAATACGATCCATGTTGCATTCTTTCAGATATCCCAATGCTGGATATTAACTTGGTGTAACGCCATCTTAAAAATCACAGCTCAATTATTACACGTTTAAAGCTGAAGCCACAAGGCTTTCCTTATAACAGGTGAAGTTCTCTTAGACACACAATCACCTAAAATACCGAAAGTGTAGAGATTCTGCTTCAAAAAATAAAATAAAATTCATACGAAGGGTTGGATGTCTAAACCTTTTAATGCTCAGTTCCAAAACATATCAGAATTACAAGAAGACTTCAGTACAGAAGAGTGGTTAGAAGCCCAAACGGTGGCACCAGCCCCTAGCATTTAAATTCTGGTGCGGCCACCTACTAGCTGTGAGACTTTGGTCACACCATGGACCCACTCTGTGCCTTGGTTTCCCTGTCTGTAAAATGGGAACAATAATGGTATCCACCTCACAGGCTTGCAATGAGGATCAAATTAGTTAATATATGTAAGGCACAAATTAGTTAATATATGTACCTGGCAAGTGCTGATAAGTGTATTTTAAATTATTATTATTGTTATCATGACTATCATTATTCTTATTATCCATTCAGAGAGCCAGTTTCAAGCCAGGCACAGTGACTCACGCCTGCCGTCCCAACACTTTGTGAGTCCGAGATGCATGGATCACTTGAGGTCAGGAGTCTGAGACCAGCCTGGTCAACATGGCAAAACCCTGTCTTTCCTAAAAAAGAAAAATACCAAAAAAAAAAAAAAAAAATTAGCTGGGTGTGGTGACAACGCCTGTAATCCCAGCTACTCAGGAGGCTGAGGCAGGAGAACTGCTTGAGCCCGGGAGGCAGAGGCTGCAGTGAGCTGAGATTGTGCCATTGCACTCCAGCCTGGGTGACAGAGTGAAACTCTGAGACTCCGTTAAAAAAAAAAAAAACAAAGAAAGCCAATTTTCTCTCAATTAACTGCAGCTGATTTTGGTCTTGACCGTCATTGACTGGGTTCCTCTTGGTAACCCTGGTGAATTTCACGGCTTGTCCAGAGAAGGTTGGTCAAGGGGGGCCCAGGCCATTCACATGACTTCATCATTCCATCAGCTCACAAATCAGCCACTTCCTTCCATCACATCCCCATGATAAAATGTTGCATTTCTTTGATTCTTCACGTCCCCATGATAAAATGTTGCATTTCTTTGATTCTTAAGACAAAGATTATAGGGTCTTTCTAAAGCCCAGATCTGACTGCGTCCTTCCTTTTCTCCAGGCCCTCGGGATCGGGTCCAAATTCTTCTGCCTGGCTCTCAGTGACATCATCTTCCGCTGACCTACATTTCCGGCCACGTCATTCATTTCTCCCACCTCAAACTCCAGCCTCCACCATCCAGGACATCTCACAGGTGTCCTCACACCCCCAGGTTTTTCTACATGTTGTTCCTTCTGTGAGAATGCCACCCACCCAAACTTCTCCAAAGGGTGAACTCATATCCAGCCTTCCTTTCCAGCCCTCCCAGGCCCAGCCCCACCTCAACCCTCATCTTCTCTCCCTGCATCATCACCTCGACCTCCTCCCCAACCTCAGCCTCCAGTGTCTCCCTTCTGGTTCATCCTGCACATAGCCCCAGGGCTGTCCTGGCTCACAGACTTTCCATGGCTCCCCAGTGCCCTCAGAAGGTCCCAGCCTCTCACGCTGGCATCTGAGGTTCTTGGAGACCTGATCCTTGCCCTCCTCTTCCATCACCCTTAACCATGCACGGTGGTCTTCCTACCCTCCAACCTTCCTGGTTTTGCTGTGACAAAAGTTTAAGCTGGGTACGGTGGCTCACGCCTGTAATCCCAGCACTTTGGGAGGCCGAGGTGGGCAGATCATGAGGTCAGGAGTTCGAGACTAGCCTGGCCAACATGGTGACACCCTGTCACTACTAAAAATACAAAACTTAGCCGGGTGTGGTGGCACATGCCTGTAATCCCAACTACTCGAGAGGCTGAGGAAGGAGAATTGCTTGAACCCGGGAGGCGGAGGTTGCAGTGAACCAAGATGGCGCTGTTGCACTCCAGCCTGGGTGACAGAGCAAGACTCTGTCTTGGGGAGGAAAAAGAAAAGTTTAGGGGCAAGAGCCATCTCTGAGGTGGCACAAGGTGGAGGCATCAAGGGTGTCTTCCTGGAGGGGAGGAAAAATCAAATAGGGCTGTACAGGAGAACTGAAAATATCTAGATTTCAGAAAGGTGGAAGTCAAATCAAAGCAAAAAGCTCCACTCATAATAAAATTCATTCTTTACTGAGTGCATGGTGGGCCAGGCGCTGTTCTGTGTATGTCATGGATGTGAAACCTTAAATCTTCCCCACAGCCACTGCCTTATGGAGACTGTGTCATCCTTAGCTTCATTTTACAGAAATCTACAGTGAAGGAAGGCACATCCCAAGGGGACACAGATAGTAAGCGGCAGAGCTGGGATTCCAGGCACGCGGCCGGGCCTCTGCAGGAAGAAATCAAATGCGTGGAATGGTCGGGGAGAGGAGATGCTTAGAAGGGATTTTCCTGTATTCTCTTAGCGGTGGGGGTCAGAGCTAGGCCCAAGTTCTCACTCATCAAGTCCTCCCCAGTGATGCAAGGATGGAGCTGGGGTAAAACCAGGGAGAATCAGGGCCCTCACATCGCTGCGTTTATTAAGCATCAGGGTCAGAGCTGGGCAGGAGGGGAGGGGAGGCAAGGTCTTGGTGAGAGTCGTTCTGGAACCAGCCAGTGGGGTGGTAGGTCGGAAGGTAGATGTCACATGTTAGGGTCACTTGGCCTGAATGGTTTTTTGGATCCAGTTCGTGTATCTGCAGACATTGGTGTAGACTCCTGGCTTCTCCTTTGATCCACAGGGGATGTTACCCCACGACACAAGGCCTCGGAGGTGGTCTCCACATACAAGCGGACCCCCAGAATCACCCTGCAGGAAAGAGGGAGAAAGTCAGATACAGATAGAAACCCAGAGACTGAGAGAGAGACAGAGAGAGAGAAAGGGACAGAGATACTCAAAGATGGAGAGAAAGACTCAAGGACAGAGAGACAGAGAGAGAGACAGTAAGACACACAAAGGCACAGAGAGAGGATGGTAGAGAGAAAATAAAGGAGACTCAAAGACACGGAGACAGAAACACTAAGATGCAGAGGAACATGGAGAGCAAGAAAGAGAAACAATTTAAGAATGGAGATTGAGAGGTGTGGAGAGAGGCAGAGGTGTAGAGGCAGATGGAGAGACAGAGAAAAGAAGAAGATGAAGATGAAGACAAAGGAGGAGGAGGAGGAAAGGGAGGAGAGGGAGGAAGGGGAGGAGAGGGAGGAAGGGGAGGAGAGGGAGGAGGGGAAAGAGAGGGAGGAGGGGAAAGAGA